TTAAGACCCTCCAAGATGGCAAAAACCAGAGATTCACAAGGTAAGACAATTTAGTTTTTAAATTTTTAAATGTTTTAAAATTTTCTTTCTTAACTAGCTTTCTTCATGAAGGAGTGTTGGAGCCCACAAGACTATATAGTAAATGTACATCTGACAGATTTATAAATTGAGACCCCCCAAGTGTACAACTTTTGGAGTATCCCATTTTGAAGAGCTGCAGGAATACTTGTCTTTTGAAAAAGTTGCTGTCATGTCTGTGGAAACCTAGGAAGCCATGAATTTTTTAATTAAAATGAAATTTATTTTCATAACACTTCAGCAGTGTGACTTCTCCTGCACAGGCAACAGCATGACCTTTCTATTCCTCCACACCTAGAAGCCTTAGAGTGACAATATTCACTCTTTGTTCTAACACTCAAATTTACATGGAGTCAATCCCACAAAATTAGCTGCGAACAAGACCACATAGAAATTCTCATCGAGACAGGCATGGAGTAGGAAGGTGTTGTGCCCCACCTTTGCTAACAAACAAATCTGGGTATCCCCATAGAGATTAGATGAGGAAAATGGGTGAATCTAGGATTCAGGGACATTTAGTAACTTATCTAATAGTTTGAGATGTTAAGTACTTCCCTTTGGATGTTGGCTCTTTCCTGGGTCATGTCCTTTTCCAGAGCACTGCTTTGTCAGGCTTTACCTGCCCTTTTTGTGATTTTGATATGCATGTTATCATTGTTGTTGCCTATGGACTTTTCTATATATGTCTATAGAAACCAAAAACCTCATGGAGATCACCCCTTACTCTTCTTCGCTCCCTTCTTCCCCCCCCCCCTTCACCTCACTTTATTTTCTAGCCTTACAAATAAAGACTATGTAGTGGTAATGTACTTGAGTTAATTTTTTACCATCGTATCCTGGCCTGCCATAAAAATCCTATTCTGAGCCCTGAGGGGGTACTGAGGCTGGTACTCAAGGCCCCCAATAAAGGAGCTCCTCAGACATGAACTAGCCACACCAAATATTGAGCCACATATATCTCCTCCACCTCTCTCTCTCTCTCTCTCTCTCTCTCTCTCTCTCTCTGTGTGTGTGTGTGTGTGTGTGTGTGTGTGTGTGTGAAAACCCTTTTCTGATTTTCTATGGGGTAAAAGAATTCCTGCCCTGGAACTTGCTGGGACCCGGATTGCTGGTTTTAAGGGTATATATTACTGGGAATATTTGTAACAGATATAGAGAAATATAAAGAAACATGGACAAACAATTCCTGTTGTGAGTAGACTTCTTTACCCTCAGATTTTTACCCCCCCATTCATTTATTATGGAGAACTTTCTTGAAGCCTGTAAAGAATACCCTAAAAGATCAACGTTTAGGGACCACGTTAATGATTAGCTGGATGAGGGTGTCAGAAGCACTGTAATTTAATATCCAGGCAGGTATCAGCTGCCACGTGGATGCTGGGAATTGAACCCAGACCTCTGGAAGTGCAGCCAGTGCTTCCAACTACTAAGCTATCTTTCTAGTTCCCATTCTCCTTTTTAAAGATTTTTTTCAGAGTTTGCCTTCCATTTACCTTCTTAAAAGGACCAGACTTTGCTTATCTGAGGTCCACAGAGGTGGACAACTACTTGCACAGACCAGGTTGCTGAGTCATCCTGCATGGATCAATGAATCCACCTTTGGACTTCTTAGGTCAAGAATTACTGGCCCCAGCAGTTTTCTGGACTTGGCTGAAGTGGTGTTTTTCTTCTTTGGGAGGGTTTAGTGGGGGTGTACTCAAAAGCAGGACTGCAAGCAACAGTTTAAGGACTCAAGGTAGCTTTGAACCTCCTCTCCTGATAGAGAAGCCAAGTGAATCAACATTAGGGATAACCTATGGAGTTGGCATATGTGGAAGGCACGCTGAGGTACCACTGAGACAAACAGGCTGGTCTCTAAGGTTTCTCCCTTTTTGTTTCTGTCCTACCCCAGGTAGAATAGACAAGCAATTCCCACTCTGCTTCCTAAGAAAGCTTTCTGGAAAGGGTCTTGAAAGACTAGGGAACCTTCATGAGTGCCTCTGGTTTCTTATTTTCTTATTGACACCCTTGGCCTGGGATAGTCACTCCTATGTGCTGTGCTGTGTGAATGGTGGATGCAGCGAGGGAGAGGCACATTTGCAGTAAATGATCTTATGCTTGTTATTTGGACTATGTTCAGATCTACAAACCGTGCAGAAATGTCAGGCCTGTTTCTACCCAGGGAAAGATATGAAATTATACCTTTACAATACACGCAAAACAGTCTTTAAAATGGTGCAGAACAGTACAGAAAAGTTAATGCCATGTAACACTTACAATATCTGGTTAAATCTTCATAACCTTGCTCTGAGAGCCTCTGCGCAAATGTCACACTGTCTGGTGCTTGCGGCGTGAGAGGGAACACTGTCCCTACACTGTATGTGCCGAGCAGACCCTGAGCATCACTGTTTTAGACCCAAGTCAAATGGTTTGCGTGACAACTCTTTTCAGAAACAATATGTATTAGAGGCTTTTTAACAAATGCACTGCATATAAACAAACTGAAAATTAAAAACTACATGGTCATTTCATTAGATGCTGAAAAAAAATCCTTCAACAAAATACAATATCCCTTCATAATAAAGGTCTTGGGAAGAACTGGGATACAAGAAACATACCTAAACATAATAAAGGCAATATACAGCAAGCCAACAGCCAACACCAAACTAAATGGAGACAAACTCAAAGTGATCCCACTGAAATTAGGAACAAGGCAAGGTTTTCCACTCTCTCCATAATATTCAATATAGTTCTTGAGGTCTGAGCTAGAGCAATAAAAAAAAAAGAAAAAGAAAAAAAAAGGAGATCTTGAGTCGAGAAATACCAGGCTACCTAGAAGATAGAACGTATTTTTTTGTTGTTGTTATAGGGGCCGAGAAGTCCAAACTCAGCTATGTAGAGCAGAAACCAGAGAGAGAGAGAGAGAGAGAGAGAGAGAGAGAGAGAGAGAGAGAGAGAGAGAAAGAGAGAAAGTATGACTCCTGGCCTCCAGGTGGTTTTCTTCTGGTACCCAAAAGGTCACACCCCTAACTCAGTCCCACTTCTTTTTTTTTTTTTTTTTTTTTTTTTTGGTTTTTCAAGACAGGGTTTCTCTGTAGCTTTGGAGCTTGTCCTGGAACTCCCTTTGTAGACCAGGCTGGCCTTGAACTCACAGAGATCCGCCTGCCTCTGCCTCCCGAGTGCTGGTCAGTCCCACTTCTTAAAGTTCATAGGCTGACAGAGATTCCCCATCACTTCCCTTTTTTGTCTAAATAAGAGAGTTGCAAACCCATTACAAAACTATATACAATAGGACCAGTTATCAAGTAAAATATAACAACTAACATAAATAATATTAAGCAAGGAAAACATGTTACATGTTTAATAAACATTCTATTTTAAAGAGTCTAAGTCATGCATCAGAAATGGCTTGGCTAATTTATAAGAGGAAGTTAACTAAGACTCTTTAATCTTTAACCCCATCAAAGGCCTGAGAAGGAAGATAATATTACTTGAGGAGGTAGGAAGTGCAATCAAACAGCTTCCAAAGAGAGCAGTGCATGACAGAGACAATTGGCTACCTGAGCATACACCCAAATTCTCATTTGTAGTATTGAATTTAGGTAAGGTCTAGTGTAACTGACAGACCATTTTTAGAGGCAGCAACATTTTTAGAACCGTCTTACCCTGTCTTGACAAGGTTTGGCAGTCTTTGTGTGTGTGTGTGTGTGTGTGTGTGTGTGCGCGCGCGCGCGCACGCGTGCGCGCTCGTGCGTCCTACTTATCCAGTCCGGACACCATGTATTTGTCAGTGATCGAGGCATGGGCAGTTCCTTGCCCGAAGGCCAATTGTGCCAAGAAGAAAACAAACTCCTAGTGGAATGTCTTCATTGCTCAACATTCTCTTGGGAATAGATTGGTGCTGTCAGGAGCAACTGTGTCTCGCATCAACAAAACCATGAGCTCTTTAAATGCCATGTTCTATAGATCCTTGAAGTAGTTGAAGATTACCTATTTAGGTAGAATACAATCTCAATATATCTAAAGAACCTTTTTAATCTGACTCTATGTATAAGCAAATATGAATAACTATAATATAATACTTAGTATCTGTATAACTAAAAGACTGTTACTTTATATCAGAATACTAAATAATCTGAATCATCTGTGCAGTAAATGAGGAAAATGACCTCAAAATGTAAACGATGTATAAGTATCTTGATCAGAGGTAGGACTATGTATTGTAATATGAAAATATATCTTAAAATTGTACCAATATACAAAATGTCTTAAAAAGAGGTAGAAACATGCATGAGTACAATCTCACAAAATAATTTTGCATAGGTGTATAAATATTATAAACAGAAATAACAAATATAACTTGAACTTGTATCTATATACAAAAACTATACCAATGTTAGTTATCCATAAATAATAGCTCACAAATATTTACTCTATTACCTATTATTATTATTATTACCTATGTACCATAATGTGCCCTTTAGGAAAGGACCAGGTTTTCTCTGGCTTCTGGGATTCCCTATCTACCTTTTCTTGGCGACTCTCACTGTCCATCCCTTTTAGTTTCACTTCTTATGAAGACCAAATTAGCATGTGATAGAATTATATGATCATCATAAACAGCTTCTTAATTTTTTGAATTTAAAAATCCAAGCATACTATTTCATAATTTTTTCATAACTGGGTTTGCAATAGAGAACATGATCTTCCCAGGACAAAATCATTAGCTTTTGTTTTAACCTCGAAAGCACAAAGTAGTTACTTTACCCAATGTAGTTCAATAATGATTGCTCTTTTGAGTAAATCATTAGCACTGAATTTAACTTCCCTTGTAAACCTAGAAATCTATGTGTCCAGTGAAGGAAATCTTGTGCTTCTCCTCAACCAGCTCTATTAGGAGAGCAGAGAGTCTCAGCAGCTGGATTGCCTCAGGCTGAGCTCCCATGGCTCCTGCAGATTTCCCAGCCTCCCTTCCTGTGTGTGTGTGTCTGCTGCTGGCCTCTGGCTTTGCCCAGGCAGGCAGGCTGCTGGTGGTGCCCATGGATGGGAGCCACTGGTTCACCATGCAGTTGGTTGTGGAGAAGCTCATCCACAGAGGGCATGAGTTGGTGGTAGTCATGCCAGAGGTGAGTTGGCAAATAGGAAAATCCGTGAATTTTACAGTGAAGACGTACTCAACTTCTTACACTTTGGAGAATCTGGACCAGAAGTTTAAGTATTTTTCTCACACTCAATGGAAAACTCCAGAACAAAGTGTACTTTCCTTAATGACAGGCTCAGCCAAAGTTTTTTCTAAATTAATGTTTTCCCACTGTAGAAGTTTGTTTAATGACAAGAAGTTAGTGGAGTACTTGAAGCAGAGTTCTTTTGATGCTGTGTTTCTGGATCCATTCGAGATCTGTGGCTTAACTGTTGCCAAGTATCTGTCGGTCCCTTCATTGTTGTTTACAAGGTATTTCTATTGCCACTATCTTGAAGAGGGCACCCAGTGTCCCAGTCCGCTGTCTTATGTTCCTAGACTTTTCTCAAAACTTTCAGACACCATGACTTTCAAGGAGAGATTGTCGAACTTTGCTTTTTACATGGAAGAGCGTGCATTTTGCCATCACTTGTTTAAAAGTGCTACAGATATTGCCTCTGAAGTTCTCCAGACCCCCGTGACTTTGGAAGACCTCTTCTCCCAGGCGTCTATTTGGTTGTTACGCACCGACTTTGTGTTAGATTTCCCCAAACCTGTGATGCCAAACATGGTGTTCATTGGTGGGCTCAACTGCCAAAAAAGAAAGCCGCTTTCCAAGGTATGTTGTCTGTCTTTAGCACATGAAGAGGGGCCTGGTTTCAGGCAATGAAAAGGAAACTATTTACTCAGCTGTGATTTGATGTTTGCTTCACTGCATAACGAATTTCTTCCTGGGTAGAGAATAGTTTTGTACCATTTACTAATTAAGAAGAAATTCTTCATAGGTGCCCTATTGATTAGATGTTTATACCTGTGACATATTTGCATATACATTTTAAGATACAGTCTAATTTTAGGTATATATGTATGCCTTCTATTTTTGTTTGGGGTCATGAAATTGGAAAGGGAAGGTGACAAAGAAACTTGTTTGAGGAGTAACAATTTCAGAAACGATAGACATGTCACATGAAAACAGAAAGGAGTTCGTTCAGCAGTACGAAGAGGACATATGGAAGGGAAGGCTGGGTAGCAGGAGAATGGAATTATCACGAGTAAAGTACAGTTTGTCTGAAAATTGCCAAATGACACCAAACACTTTGTATGCTGATGCAGAAAAAAAAATTTAAGAAGGCAACAATAAGTGATGAAGCTATATGTCAAGGTTTTCAGAGATGTTTAAAAAATACATTATTCTATAAAGCTGCTCTCAAGTTTGTCAGCTGCACTCTATAGTATTCCACATGCAGTTTTTCTGTATTCAAAAATTAGGGATATGATATGTAGGATGCAAGGTAGGTGAATTAGTCTCAAATAAAATAAAATATAATAAAAATAAAACCCAAACATCAAAATTGAACAAGAGACGTAAACAGAAGTAAAAGATCACGAAGAAAAGTCACAAGAGTCAGAGCCGCTCCTGTTACCACATTCAAGAGTCCCATGAAAGTAATGAACGGGACACTAGGGTGTCTGTTCAGAGGGCCTGGGGCAGGTTCATGCAGGTTCTGTGCAGATTGCTTCAGCCTCATCAGTTCATATGAGCTTTGCTGAGTGATTTAGTAGGCATTGTTCTTTGGGTGTCCTCCATTTCTTCATTCTTCCCAAATACTTCTGCCTCTCTTCCATGAGGTTCCCTGAGCTCTGACTGGAGGGATTGGATGGAGACATCTCACTGAGAGCTGTGTGTTCCAAGGTCTCTCTATGTAGTGTCTTGCTGTGGGTCTCTGTTTCCGCTCCCAGCTGTTACATCTCTCATGATGGCTGACAAAGGCACTGGATCCATGAGTCCAGCAGGACATCATTATAAGTCATGGTTACTCCCATAAGGTGTGTGCATCTATTACCGTATCATATTTTGTAGGCAAGACAGATTGTAAGTGAAAGGTTTTGTGGTTGGGTTGGTGTTTCCTTTTCTTCTTTGGTAGCCTGCAGAGTATATTTTCATGTCATAGATAATAGAAAAGGAGGGTGAAGGTTTCAGGGAGGCACCAGCTCAAATGTTCATGTTCAATGAGTTAATGAGTTGTGGATATTTTCTTCAGCAATGGGGTCTTGTTGTCAGTTTGTGGAGAGCAACCTGTTTTTTGGTGACAGCCTGGGTTGTTTGGGAATTTCCACGGGACCCCTTGGAATGATCAACAACTGCATTGTATGAAAAGCATTCCCAAGAAGAAAGCTTAGTTTGGTGACAATATATGGACATTAGCAGTTCCCTGTCCCTCACTATTTGGAGACCTCTTCAGGATTGCCTTCATATATTTATTTCAGGAAGTTTCCAGTGTCCTGCACTAGGTTTCCATACTGCCACTCAAATGTTTTTCAATTCTAGCTGTCTCTCCTCTCATACCCACCCACATCCCTCTGTCCTCTCCTTCCCACATGAAACCCCTGTGTCCCCTTATGTGCTCCACCTCACTCATAAAATGTTTATTATTTTCTTCTCTCAATGTGTCCTGCCTAATCCCTTCCTCTATACCTAACCTCTCTGGGTTTATAGACTGCAGCTTGGTTATCATTGCTATGATGGCAATATCCAATTGAAATCAATACATATCATATTTCTCAACTCATCTGGGTTACCTCACCCAGGATGATTCTATACATGTGCCTACAAACATCATGATACGTATTTTTAAAGTGCTGAGTAATGCTCCATTATGTAAATGTATCACATTTTCCTTAACCGGTCTTCTGTTTAGGGACATCTAGTGTTTTTTTCTTAAGCTCTGGTAAATAGAACAACAATGACCCTGGTATATTAAGGAAATGTCCCTGTGGTAGGATAAGGTATCATTGGGTATATGCTCTACAGTGTCATATACCACTATGAACATAGTTGAGCACATGTCCTTGTGGCAAGAATGAGTATACCCAAAAGTGGTATTACTGGATCATGAGGAAGCTTGTTTCCTAGTTTTCTGAGAAATCACCACACTGACATCCAAAGGGGCTGTACCAGCTTGCATTCCCACTAGCAGCATTGTTTGTCATAGCCAGAACCGGGAAACAACCAAAATGCTCCACTGAAGAATGGATAAGGAAAATGTGGTACACTTACACAATGGAGTACTATACAGCAGAAAAAAATAATGACATCTTGAATTTTGCAGGAAATTGTTGGAGCTGGAAAACATTATTTTTAGTGAGGTAACCCAGACCAGAAAGACAATTATCACATGCACTCACTCTAAGTGGTTTTTAAACATAAAGCAAAGAAAAGCAGCCTACAAATTACAACCCAGAGAACCTAGACAATGAGGACTCTAAGAGAGACTTACATAGAGCTAATCTACATGGGAAAAAAAGACAAGATCTCCTGGGTAAATTGGGAGCATGGGGACCATAGGAGAGGGTTGAAAGAAAGGAGAGAGGAAGGGAAGGGAACAGAGAAAATGCATAGCTCAATAAAATCAATTTTAAAAAGTTAAAAAAAAAACCACACTGCATGAGCTGTCATTATGTCCTGACTCATTTTTCTGCTCCAAGACCAAGCCCAACATTAGCTCCTCCTGGTTCTTTGGGAACCACTCCTCTCTGGAGACAAGGAAGTTCAGCGGTGGGAAGGCTTGTCCTTTAAAGTGACAGGGTACACAGGTGACAGACCAGGCCAGCAGATCATAACAACAGTGCCCTGTAGAGCTGCCTGATGGACATCAACAGTGAACACCACAGTTTCCTTTTGGGCAAGCTGTCTTAATCCCACAAGTACAGGGAAAGGACTTGAAACCAATTCCTAGGACAAAAACCCACATGAGGTGTGGGGTGCAGCAGCATTGTCTGTAAACACAAGCGGGAAGCAAACCCCCAGATGCAGCAGTGACAAGGGAGACAAATGCATGGACATGTGGAGAAGGTCCCTGGGTAACTGACAAGGAGTTCAACCTAGCTCTCAGCCTCTCCATGGAATATGGGGCTGTCTACATCATCAGATACATCTAGGGGGACAGTGTAACAGGAATGGTGGTCACCTTCCTTTTAGTCCCTGGAGTGGTCTGTGCAGAAGCAGGTCACCCTTATGTCAGCAATTCAGAGAACACAGGGTTGGGAGGTGGAACAAGAATTCTACTGCACAGCTTTACTCATCATGCAGAGTTGTTTCTAACCACTGTCTGTGAGCAGGGCCAGGCTAAGGACCCTCCCACTAGGCTTTAGACCCAGCAGCAGGCAGCAAATCCCTTGGGAACACAGTATGCTTTTGCTTTGTGACCTATTCTAGAAATGCAAGATTCCTTAAAACTTGCTTCCTTTGGTGAAAACTTTTGGACTCCTTAGGATCAGCATATTTCTTTGTAACTATTTCTAAACTCACATTGCCTGACTCTGCCCAAGAAAAAAATCTTACTGGAATACAAGCAAGTGTGCCTCATAATATTTGATCACCGAATGGTGTTCTCCAAGTAAATCATTGTCAGGGACTGTTGTTTCTTCATGGTGCAAGTACACACCCAACTGAGGGAGCAGAATTAACTCAGTCACACTTTCTCCTTTGTCAGCAGAGCTCAGATTCTCAGTGGCTGGATTGTCTCAGGCTGAGCTTTTCCCATGGCTCCTGCAGATTTCTCAGCCTCCCTTCCTCTGTGTGTGTGTCTGCTGCTGGCCTCTGGCTTTGCCCAGGCAGGCAGGCTGCTGGTGGTACCCATGGACGGGAGCCACTGGTTCACCATGCAGTCTGTTGTGGAGAAGCTCATCCACAATCGGCATGAGGTGGTGGTAGTCGTGCCAGAGGTGAGTTGGCAACTGGGAAAATCCCTGAATATTACTGTGAAGACGTACTCAATTTCTCACACCATAGAGGTTTTAAACCGGGAATTCAAGTATTTTTCTGATACTCAATGGAAAACTCCAGAAGAAAGTATGCTTTCTTTGATGACAGGCTCAGCCAAAAATTTCTATGAATTAATATTTTCAAACTGTAGGAGCCTGTTTAACGACAAGAAGTTAGTGGAGTACTTGAAGCAGAGTTACTTCGATGCTGTGTTTCTGGATCCTTTCGAGGTGTGCGGCTTGACTGTTGCCAAGTACTTGTCGGTTCCGTCAGTGATCATTGCAAAAGTTATATTTTGCCACTATATTGAGGAGGGCACTCAGGGCCCCAGACCCCTCTCTTATGTTCCCAGAGTTCTCTCAAAATTCGCAGACACTATGACTTTTATGGAGAGAGTGTGGAACCACATCACCTATATGGGGGAACGTGCATTTTGCCCCTATTTTTTCAAAACTGCTACAGATATTGCCTCTGAAGTTCTCCAGACCCCAGTGACTATGGAAGACCTCTTCAGTCAAGTGTCCATTTGGCTTTTGCGCACTGACTTTGTGTTGGAGTTTCCTACACCTATGATGCCCAAAATGGTCTACATTGGTGGGATCAACTGCCATCAGGGAAAGTCACTGTCCAAGGTATGCTATCTCTCTTTTAGCACATGAAGAGAGTCTTTGGTTTAGCCAAGAAAAGATAAATTCTTTACTGAGCTGTGATTTATCGTTTACCTCACTGCATATGGGATTTCTTCCTGGGTTAGAGATGGTTTATGCCAACTCACTAATTAGGAAACAAATCTATATTGGTGCCCTATTGATATGCGTGTGTAAACCTGTGAGGATATCACATATACATTCAAAGCTACAATCTAAGTTTAACTATGTATGTGTCCTTCCTCTGTGTGTAATGCAAGGTCATGAAATTACAACAAAAATGGACAAAGAAAATTTTCCTTAGGAGAAACCAAACCAGCAAGTAATGATAAACATACCACATAAAGAGAGAAAGGGAGATGTCCTGGGGTAGGAAGAGGACATACGGAGGGCAAGGCAAGGTAGCGGGGGAGCAGAATAAACAGAAAAGAAAATGTTTGTGAAATTCCAGAATACCACTAAATACTCTGTATGACAACTTTAAAAAAATTTTAAAGAGACAAAAAAAAAAAAAACATTCGAAGTACATTTTATTGCTTTTGGAGATGTTTAAAAAACACATCAAGCATTGAAGCTGTGATCATTTCCTGTCGGCTGCACTCTATAGGAGTGCACACGCAGCTTTTCTGCATTTCAAGAATCACTGATACGATATACAAGACACAAAGTTGGTGCATTTTCACAAACAAAATAAAATTAGTGAGAGAAGAATACCACCATATAAATGGGACAATACAAGCCAACAGAAAAGTAAGAGTGCCAAGGGAAGGGATAAGAATCAGAGACTCACTTGTTAGCACTTTCAGGAGTCCCACAGAGGTACTACATGGGAGCCAGGAGGTAGTGGTGCATGCCTTTAATCCCAGCACTTGGGAGGCAGAGGTAGGTGGATCTCTGTGGATTCGTGTCTAGTAGGCCTACCAGAACTAGTTCCAGGACATCTAGGACTGTTACACAGAGAAACACTGTCTCGAGAAACCAAAATAAATAAATAAATGAAATAAAAAATAAAAAAATTAAAAAATAAATAAATAAATGAATAAACAAACAAATGACTAGACTGGAAGCTATGGTGTCTGTTCAGGATGGTACAGGTCCATGCAGGCCCTGTACAGACTGCTTTAGCCTCGTCAGTTCATATGACCTTTGCTGAGTGATTTAGCAGGCCTTGTTCTTTGGGGTTCCTCCATTCCTTCTTTCTCCCCAACTTCTTCTGCCTCTCTTCCATGAGGTACCCTGAGCTCTGACTGGAGAAATTGGGTGGAGACATCTCACTGAGAGCTGTGTGTTCCAAGGTCTCTCTATGTAGTGTCGTGCTGTAGGTCTCTGTTTTCGCTCACATCTGTTACATGGGGAATTTTCTCTGATGATGGCTGACTAAGCTACTGACCCATGAGTACAGCAGAATGTCATTATGAGTCATTTCATTGTTACTTCCCCCGAACTAAGAACAGGAATACTTGGATTTACCCTAACTGTCTGGACTTCTGGACACCTAAGCAGTATGAGGTATGGTTTCCATCTAATAAAAATGAATGAAAAATGAATTTTATGCTCTGGTAATGCTGAAGCATGCATGGGCAGCCCACATATGGAGGTTCTGTTGAACTTGTCTGTGTTCATGATCTACGTTAATGGGGAAGACTGACCAGGCAGTATCCATCTCACGGAGTGGGCCTTAATTCAAATCAGACATCGGTTGGTTACTTCAACAAGGTTTGTGTCTCCATTGTCCTAGCATATTTTGTAGGCAAGACAAATTATAGGTGCGATTCTGCTTAAACTGAGTTTTTACCTGATTCCCCCTGCCCAAATATATCAAGCCTGGCTCCTCTAAAATATGCAGACGTTGGAATTTAACTGTCAGGGTGGAGCTGTAGTATAACCTTTCAAGTTGAGAGGAACCATTCTTTGACTTCCCCAGCCAAGCAGTACTAACTGCCCCTGTTCTGGAACCTGAAAGGAGGGAGGCCTTATACCTGGATTGAGTGACTGGCCAGCTCTTTTCTAGATTATTATAGCTGTTGCTTGGTTTCTAGGACAGGAGCAATTGAGGTGGTAGTCTCTTAACATGACAGCCAGGAGCTAGTATATTTTTAATTAATTATTTTTATTTTATCCTCATTGGTGTTTTGCCTGCATGTTTATCTATATGAGGGTGTGACAAACCCTGGAATGGGAGTTACAGACAGGTGTGAACTATCACATGGATGCTGAAAACTGAACCCTGGACCTCTCATTGAGCAACCAATGCTTCCAACTACGAGTCATCATTCTAAGCCCATATTCCACCACTTTAATATTTTTCCAGAGTTAAACTCCTATTTTTTTAATAAAAGACAAAAATTTGATCATCTGAGGTCCACACCTACCTTCCCAGACCAGTTCCTTGGTCACCTAGCATGGAGAAATGAAGACATTTGACTTCTCAGGCCAAGCATTACTTGCCCCAACATTTTTCTATAATTGACTGAGGTTGCATTTTTCCTCTTTGGGAGAGCTTAGTGGGGTGCACTAAGAAGTAGGACTGGAAGCAACAGTCTAAAGACTTGAGGTAGTAAATTCTGTATTCTCTCCTGATACAGAAAGCAAGTGTTTCAATGTCAGGGATTACATTTGGAGTTGGCATATGTGTCAGGCACACTGAGGTACCACTGAGACACACAGGCTGTTCTCTATGGTCTCTGCAATTTGTTTCAGTCCTACCCCAGATGGAATAGACAAGCAATTCCTACTCTACTTCCTAAAGTGAACGGTCTGGAAAGGGTCTTGGAAGATTTGGGAACCTTCATGAGTGCCTCTGGGTTCTCATTTTCTTATAGACATCATAGGCCTGGGACCGTCACCCCTTCCGTGCTGTGTTGTGCTCTGTGAATGGTGGATGCAGTGAGGGAGAGGCACATTTGCAGTGAATGACGTTATGCTTGTTATTTGGACTATGTTCTCATCTATGAGCCATGTAGAAATTTCAGGCCCTTTTTTACCCAGGGGAAGACATGAAATTATACCTTTACAGCACAAACAAAAAATATCTTAAAAATGATGCACGACAGTATAGAAAAGCTAGGACCATGAAGCTCTTACAATATCTGGTTAAATCTTCATGACGTCACTCAAAGAGTCAATGCACAAATGTCACTCTGTCTGGTGCCTGTGCGGTAGGGTTGAACACTGTGCCTATATTGTAAGTAATGAGCAGACCCTGCGCATCACTGTTTTAGAACCAACACAAATGGTTTGTGAGATGACTGTTTTCAGAAACAATACGTGATTAGAGGCTCAAATAAACACATTGAATGCGCTGTCATCATCCCTGACCCATAATTCAGCCCTAAGACCAAGCCCAACATCAGCCCCTCCTGGATTTGTGGGGAAGGTGTAAGTCCTAAAGTTCTGATCCCTTTGTTCCTTGGAAAGCAGAGACCTGGCCATTGTGCCTAAGGTAACTTAGTCTGAGCATCTTCATGGAGGCAACAGCTTTCAGAGGTTCAGCTCTTCATCTTCTGTCCTCCGTCCAGATGTCTGTCTGAAAGCCAGGCTGAGGAAGAAAGTCATCCTGTTTTAGGAAGAGCACTAGAAAGAACAGAAACTGATCTAACACAGCTAATGTTTCCGTTTGACAGGGACAATGGTTGTGTTGTTGGTTTACTGGAGTCCTACAGCAGGGCAGAGTCCCAAAGCTCAGTCCTGTCAGTCAAGACTCCTGCACTCTCAGATCCATGGAACCACACAGCAATACAGGGTTGATTTGACCCTGACCTGTCCTCTGTACCATAATGTGCCCTTTAGGAAAGGTTTTCTCTGACTTCTAAAATTCCCTTCTATCTGTTCTTGGTGCCTCTCAATGTCATCCTTCTTAGTGTCCCTTGTTATGAGGAACAAATGAGCATATGATAGATTTAGAGGATCCACATAGACAGCTTCTTAATTATTCTGAATTTAAAAATTTAAGCATATTGTTTCATAATTTTATCAAAATTGGGTTTACAATAGAGAGCTTGATCTTCCATAGATAAAAAAAAAACATAAACATTTTTGTAACCTGGAAAGCACAAAGTAGTTACTTTGGCCAATGTAGTTCAATAATGATTGCTCTTTTGAGTAAATCATTAGCATTACATTTAACTTCCCTTATACACATAGAAATCTATGTGTCCAGTGAAGGAGATCGTGTGCTTCTCCTCAACCAGCTCTATTAGGAGAGCAGAGAGTCTCAGCAACTGGATTGTCTCAGACTGAGCTTCTCCCATGGCTCCTGTAGATTTCCCAGCCTCCCTTCCTCTCTGTGTGTGTCTGCTGCTGGCCTCTGGCTTTGCCCAGGCAGGCAGGCTGCTGGTGTTGTCCATGGATGGGAGGCACTGGTTCACCATGCAGTCAGTTGTGGAGAAGCTCATCCACAGAGGACATGAGGTGGTGGTAGTCATGCCAGAGGTGAGTTGGCAGCTGAGAAAATTTCTGAATTTTACAATGAAGAAGTACTCAACTTCTTACACTCTGTAAGATCTGGACCATAATTTCAAGAATTAGTCTCATGCTCAATGGGAAACTCCAGAACAAAGTATGCTTACTTTGATGACAGGATCAGTCCAAGTTTATTATGAATTAATATGTTCCCACTGTAGGAATTTGTTTAACTACAAGAAGTTAGTGGAGTATTTGAAGCAGAGTTCTTTTGATGCTGTGTTTCTGAATCTTTTGAGATCTGTGGCTTAACCACACTGCTTTCCAGAGTGGTTGCACAAGTTTGCATTCCCACCAGCAATGGATGAGTGTACCCCTTTCTCCACAACCTCTCCAGCAAAGGCTATCATTGGTGTTTTTGATTTTAGCCATTCTGACAGGTGTAAGATGGTATCTTAAAGTTGTCTTGATTTGCATTTCCCTGATCGCTAAGGAAGTTGAGCATGACCTTAGGTGTCTTTTGGCCATTTGAACTTCTTCTGTTGAGAGATCTCTGTTCAGCTCAGTGCCCCATTTTATAATTGGGTTGATTAGCCTTTTACAGTCTAGTTTCTTAAGTTCTTTATATATTTTGGAGATCAGACCTTTGTCAGTTGCGGGGTTGGTGAAGATCTTCTCCCAGTCAGTGGGTTGCCTTTCTGTCTTAGCGACAGTGTCCTTTGCTTTACAGAAGCTTCTCAGTCTCATGAGGTCCCATTTATTCAATGAGGCCCTTACTGTCTGTGCTGCTGATGTTATACGTAGGAAGCGGTCTCCTGTGCCCACTTGTTGTAGTGTAGTTCCCACTTTCTCTCCTATCAGGTTCAGTGTGTTCAGACTGATATTGAGGTCTTTAATCCACTTGGACTTGAGTTTTGTGCATGGTGACAGACATGGATCTATTTTCATTTTTGTACAGATTGAAATCCAGTTTTGCCAGCACAATTTGTTGAAGATGCTCTCTTTTTTCCATTGTATAGTTTTAGCTCCTTTATCGAAAATCAGGTGCTCATAGGTTTGTGGATTAAAGTCAGGGTCTTCTATACGGTTCCATTGGTCGACTTCTCTGTTTTTATGCCAATACCAAGCTGTTTTTAATACTGTAGCTCTGTAATAGAGTTTGAAGTCAGGGATGGTAATGCCTCCAGACGTTCCTTTATTGTATAAGATTGTTTTGGCTATCCTGGGTTTTTTATTTTTCCATATAAAGTTGATTATTGTCTTCTCCAGATCTGTGAAGAATTTTGATGGGATTTTGATGGGGATTGCATTGAATCTATATATTGCTTTTGGAAGAATTGCCATTTTTACTATGTTGATCCTCCCAATCCAAGAGCAAGGGAGATCCTTCCATTTTCTGGTGTCTTCTTCTATTTCGTTCTTCAAAGTCTTAAAGTTCTTGTCATATAGATCTTTCACTTCCTTGGTCAGGGTTACCCCAAGATATTTTATGCTCTTTGTGGCTATCATGAAAGGTGATGCTTCTCTGATTTCCCTCTCTGTTTCCTTATCCTTACTGTATAGGAAGGCAACTGATTTTTTCGAGTTGATCTTGTATCCTGCCACATTACTGAAGGTGTTTATCAGCTGTAGGAGTTCTTTGGTAGAGTTTTTGGGGTCGCTTATGTATACTATCATATCATCTGCAAATAACGAAAGCTTAACTTCTTCCTTTCCAATACGAATCCCTTTGATCCCCTTATGTTGTCTTATTGCTATTGCTAGAACTTCAAGCACTATATTGAAGAGGTATGGAGAGAGTGGACATCCTTGTCTTGTTCCTGATTTTAGTGGGATGGCTTTGAGTTTTTCTCCGTTTAATTTAATGTTAGCTGTCGGTTTGCTGTAAATAGCTTTTATTATATTTAGGTATGACCCTTGTATCCCTAGTCTCTCCAATACCTTTATCATAAAGGGGTGTTGGATTTTGTCGAATGCTTTTTCAGCATCTAATGAAATGATCATATGGTTTTTTTCTTTCATTTTATTTATATGGTGGATTACATTGATAGATTTGCGTATGTTGAACCAGCCCTGCATCTCTGGGATGAAGCCTACTTGATCATAATGGATAATTTTTCTAATGTGTTCTTGAATTCGGTTTGCCAGTATTTTATTAAGAATTTTTGCGTCGATATTCATGAGTGAGATAGGCCTGTAGTTCTCTTTCTTGGTTGGGTCTTTGTGTGGTTTTGGTATCAGGGTAACTGTAGCTTCATAAAAGGAATTTGGCAATGACTTTTCTGTTTCTATACTGTGAAATACATTAAGGAGAATAGGTATTAGCTCTTCTTGGAAGTTCTGGTAGAATTCTGCATTGAAACCATCTGGTCCTGGGCTTTTTTTAGAGGGCAGATTTTTGATAACTGCTTCAAGTTCTTCGCGACTAACAGGTCTATTTAGATCTTTCACCTGGTCTTGGTTTAGCTTTGGTATATGGTACTTATCTAAAAAGATGTCCATTTCTTTTGTATTTTCCAGTTTTGTGGCATACAGGCTCCTGTAGTAAGATCTAATGATTCTCTGAATTTCCTCTGTGTCTGTGGTTATGTCCCCCTTTTCATTTCTGATCTTATTTATTTGCGTGTTCTCCCTCTGTTGTTTAATTAGTTTGGATAGGGGTTTGTCTATCTTGTTGATTTTCTCCAAGAACCAACTTTTTGTTTCATTGATTCTTTGGACTGTTTTCTGTGTTTCTATTTTGTTGATTTCTGCCCTCAGTTTGATTATTTCCAGTCTTCTACTCCTTCTGGGCACATCTGCTTCTTTTTTTTCTAAAGCTTTCAGGTGTGCTGTTAAGTCCCCAATGTATGCTTTCTCCGTTTTCTTTAAGTGGGCACTTAGTGCTATGAACTTTCCTCTTAGCACTGCTTTCATCGTGTCCCATAGGTTTGAGTATGTTGTCTCTTTATTTTCATTAAATTCAAGGAAGACTTTAATTTCCTTCTTAATTTCTTCCTTCACCCAGGTGTGGTTCAGTAGTTGATTGTTCAGTTTCCATGAGTTTGTCGGCTTTCTGGGGGTAGCATTGTTGTTGCCTTCTAACTTTAATCCGTGGTGATCTGATAAGACACAGGTGGACACTGATATTCTTTTGTATCTGTGGAGGTTTCCTTTGTTTCCGAGTATATGGTCAATTTTTGAGAAGGTTCCATGAGCTGCAGAGAAGAAGGTATATTCTTTCCTATTTGGGTGGAGTGTTCTATAGATGTCTGTTAAGTCCATTTGTTTCATTACCTCCAGTAATTCTCTTAATTCTCTATTAGGTTTCTGTCTGATTGACCTGTCCATTGGAGAGAGAGGTGTGTTGAAGTCTCCTACTACTAGTGTGTGTGGTTTGATGTCTGCCTTGAGTTCTTGTAATATTTCTTTAACATAAGTGGGTGCTTTTATATTAGGGGCATAGATATTCAGGATTGAGACTTCATCCTGATGAATTGTTCCTGTTATGAGTATAAAGTGTCCATTTTGATCTCTTCTGATTGATTTTAGTTTGAAGTCAGTTTTGTTGGAAATTAGTATGGCCACACCTGTTTATTTCTTAGGACCATTTGCTTGAATAAAACTTTTCCCAACCCTTTACTCTGAGTAGATGCCTGTCTTTGTGGTTGAGATGTGTTTCTTGTAAACAGCAGAATTTTGGATCCTGTTTTCATATCCAATCTCTTAGCCTGTGCCTTTTTATCGGTGAATTGAGACCATATATATTAAGTGATATTAATGACCAGTGGTTGTTTACTCTGGTTATTCTTATTATTTTTAGTAGTAGAGTTTGTGTGCCTCCCTTCTTTGAGTTGTGCTGGTAAAGGGTCGCTAGATGCCTGAGTTATTGTAGGCAGTGTTGGCAATGTTGGATTTCTTGGGTTGTGATTTTCCTTCTATTACTTTCTGTCAGGCTGGATTTATGGCTACGTATTGTTTAAATTTTTTCGTATCCTGGAATGTTTTGTTTTCTCCATTATAGTGAACAACAGTTTGGCTGGGTATAGTATTTTCGGCTTGCATCCATGGTCTCTTAGTTTCTGCAGTACCTCTATTCAGGACCTTCTGGCTTTCATAATTTTCACAGAGAAGTCAGGTGTAAGTCTGATGGGCTTACCTTTATAAGTTACTTGGCCTTTTTCCTTTGTAGCTCTTAATATTTTTTCTTTAATCTGTATATTTTGTGTTTTGATTATTATATGGAGAGGTGATTTTTTTTGATCCAGTCTATTTGGTATTCTGTATGCTTCTTGAATATTCAAAGGAATATCTTTCTTTATGTTGGGAAAGTTTTCTTCCATTATTTTGTTAAAAATATTTTCTGGGCCTTTGAGCTGTGACTCTTATCCTTCTTCTATCCCTATTATTTTTAGGTATGGTCTTTTTATTGTGTCCCATATTTCCTGAATGTTTTGTGATGAGATTTTGTTGGCTTTGCTGTTTTCTTTGATCAGTGCATTTATTTTCTCTATGGTGTCCTCAGAATCTGAGATTCTTTCTTCTACCCCTTGTATTCTATTGATTATGCTTGTCTCTGTAGTCTCTCCTCATTGACCTAGATTTTCCATATCCAGCTGGTCCTCGGTTTGTATTTTCTTCCTTGCTTCCATTTCAGTTTTCAATTCTTCAACTGTTTCCATTACCTGTTTAATTGCTTTTTCTTGGTTTCCCAGGGTATCATTTACGTATTTACTCATTTCTTCAAACTCTTTGTTATACTTCTCATCCAGTTTTATAAGGGCATTTTTTACATGTTGTTTAAGGGACTCTATTGCTTTCATAAAGTCAATTTTTTCCA